CATTAATTGTCTTGTTTTTTATTTGTGCAATCAGCTTAGTTGTCATATTAGTTACTTAACGGTAATTTAATCGTCGTTTTATATGGTGACTACCATATTCAATTAAAGGTATAAATTGTGTAATGGCTATGTGCAGATTTCAAATGCAACTTTTTATATTAACAATCATTTCATTTGGCTTAATTAAGCAAATCAATTAACTTTTTATGGCAATAGTTGAAGTCAAATCAAACAAAATACTATCTATACTATATGTTTCACATACAAGTATAGTAAGAGCTATGAAATTTCTAAATATTTTTTATAGAAATTGTCTATTGAAGTGTTTGGTAGTTGCAGAATAGGAACAATCTGAGAAGAATTTGTATTTTATTTTATTTCTCCATCCAGTCTTCATAAATAGTGGAGACGTCTGGCGGCTAAAAACGAGAATATAAATAAAGAAAATCAAGTTTAATTAACGATATCAAAAAATTGATTCGGCGAGATGAAATTGTTGTGCATAATTAAGTGAAATAATTGTGAACAATTGCATTTACATTGCTGAGCAAATAATTGTCTGCATTTTCCTTCGCTGTGGCGATCTGTGTTGTCAGAGTTTTATTGGCCAGATTTTATTTGTCATGTCACTTCGGTTTTATTTAATGATGTTGTGTCGCTTGTTCATGTCAAGTGGCGACAAACTTTTCACTTGCAGTCATGCCGAGTTACACTCACTCCCACACACACACACACACACACATACGAGCATCAGAAACAGATACATGTGTATGTACACCATAAATTACGCATACGCCGCATTGGTTTGCCGGCGTTTGTCTTTCATTTTCTCGCTTCCTCTCCACACTCTTTTTTGTCGTTAGTGGCTGTTGTTGGTGTTGCCGCCAGTTAACGCCCGCAGTCATTTCATGTTGCTCCATATTCTCTTTCATACGTATAGGGCCATTTATCATTTTTTCTCCATGCCGTTGACACTTTCACTTATTTCAGACAACAGTCGAAGCAGCAACAGCAGCAATAACCTGTGCAAAGTTGAGAAGTCAATTTTTTACGCCAACGCCCTTTGGCCAACTTAGCCTCAGTGTGCGTGTCGACCTTCCAGCTGAAAAAAAAAAATAGTCCGTCTTCCCCACCCTTCCCAACCCACCCTACTCCCCTCATCCTCATTCCTTTATAGCGCTACGTGCGTGGCCGTTACGCGCTGTCAAATTTATTAGTTTCAATATAATTTGACAACATGAAAATTTGTTTATAAATTGTTCATATAGTTGTGCGCCCGCCCCCAAGCAACATTTATCAAATTTTGTTGTGCTGCGGCAACTTTTGAGTTGCAACTGCCAGAAGTTCAACTATCTGTATCATACTTGTATCTGTATCGTCGTTGGCGTTGTGGCTGCCGCTTTAATTTTCACTCTTAACTGAAATTTATGTTTATTACACGGCGACCTCAACACAAATTATCATAAATTGCCATCATTATACAAAAGTACAAACGAAAAATAAAAAATAAACTGTAATAACAACATAATAACTAAAGGAAAATGAAAATACGCACAAATGTGAGGCAAGAAAAGAAACAGCAAGTGGCAGAGGAGTGGTGGGAAGGGAGGGAGAGGGGGAGGCCAAACAATATAAATATGGAAAAGCGCTGCTCTCATAAGTTCGAGTTTCGAGTTCATTCAGCTGCGCTGTTTGTCCAGTGAAAATCGCTTTCATCTTCACCACAACAATAGCAACAACAACAACATTGTGTAGAGTGTGTGGCAAAAAAAAAGAAGTAAAGTGTGCGATGATGAGTGTGTATCGCTGTCCGGCGGTTTCTTTAATGCGTTCACTTTTTTTTTATTGTTGCCAACAACAAAACATTACCGACTCTTCTCGTTTTTGCTGCTGTTGTTGTTGTTGTTGTTTTTGTTGTTGTTGTTTTTGTTGTTGTTGTTTTTGTTACTGATGTTAATGTCTTTATGCGGCCTGGGCAGCAAAAGCAGAAGTTGCGCGGCTGGGTAGTTTCATTTTTTATGAACTTAATTAGCATCTGGCACTACTTTCAATGTCAATGGCAGTCAGCAGCTTGCCAAGTGTACACACAAACACACACAAATACAAACACAAATACACACACACACACACACACACACACACTCACACTCACACACACACAATAAATCTCACTTTACGGAATGCAAGCAAATGAGATAATTTTTGCACCAAACGCAATCTTTTCATGTTATTTTTCTCGCATGATTTATGGCCGCCCATTTATTTCATCTTGCCTTATAATGAACCAGCTTTATGATTTCGGAGGGTCATAAAATTAAAGCATTTTCAGTTAAATCTGTGCACCTAATTGACATTTAGCTGTCTAATATTTCAGTGTTTTGCAATCATTGCTCCAGCAACATGATGAATGACAAATGTATCTTGAAATTGAATAGCTTTTGAATCTGACGCGGGAGGCGTGCCATATCATGGGGAATCGGGTCAATAGGTCAACATTAATCACCATAACTAGACATGCAAAACAAGAGTGTGTCATAAAAACTATGTGTTTTTAACAGCCAAAAAAATGATAAAACAAACCCAAGAACATTTATGTTCTTCTTATTTTTGTGTTCCACCCGCCCCTTTTGTCAGCTGTTTGTGCATCTGAACGGCCTTAACTCGAAATTATTCAGTCAGGCAATGAAAAAGTGAGTGTTTCGATGCAAGTGCGTATAATTTTAATGGTTTTAGCCAAATTTTCCAGACATTTTTAAAGGTTTTTTTATCTACTTGAGAGAATCCATAAGCGTTCATAAATATCTCTGTAGTTTTGTTATTTAATGCTCCAAATTTATATCAAAAGATATGGATTTTTAAAATTCATATTGGAAGGTTTTATAGCAATGCAAAAGATAACTTTTTAAACAATAATTGTTTATTATTCGTAACATTTATTTATTGAATCTTCCCAAGTACCTCAGTTTCCAATAAGAAAATATTTCAAATCCCAAAAGTTTTTCTGTTGGAAAACTGTTGTTAATTAGTTTAGAATTGAGTACATTTTTAGTTGGAAATAGCTAATGTATATTGTGGCTGAAATTAGCAAAATATAAATGAAACACCACAGAAATAGAAAAGCAACTTCGAGCATGCAGTTTAGTTAGGAAATACTGCATATTTCATATAATATCATGATAGTTCTCAGAACTATATCTTAAATTTAGAACGATTTTAGTTTACTCCCCCTAATTAGATATGGCGCTTATTAATGGAATAAAATACAATATCTCTTTAATTAGTAAGTTGTTTAGAATATTTAGTATCTCCAAAGCTATGCTTTTTATTGCTTGCAATACATATATTTTATGGTATAATAACGCTGATAGCTCAAATCCATAGTCATACCATAGAATCTGTATAGTTGATAGTTTTCTTCTTCAGTTAAGTTTTTAAAAAATTGTTCGGGCTACTCGTATATTTTTGTTTACATTTAAAGAAGATGCCAGCCGCCTCTCAGTAATATCTGCGCACAAAACTTGATGAACATTTCAATTGTTTGACTACACAAATCTCTTGACGTCAAGGCACAATTAATTTTTAAGGCACGAGCCAAGTGTTGACTTTAACTGGGGGCCATTACCTAAAATAAAATCCAAACTAAGCACAACAGCTTCTTTAATTGCACTGCAAGCCCTTTTACATTTACAAACACTTGAGGCCAACAGGCATTTACTTTATTTACCAAATGCAGCAACACACAGACAAATGTCTATGATGGACATAGCATGTAAGACATTAGTTTACAACTCATTTTGCTTGGCACTTGACCCAAAGTCGTCGTCATCTTCGTGAGTCTCTCACAACTCGATCAACGGCCTCTTCAGATACGAGCAGCTCTCGAAACTGGCGCTTAGGCTCCATATGGGGCAGAAGCAGCAGAAAATGTCCACAAAAAAAAAAGAAACTATAAGAAGAAGAAAATAAATGACTAGCAAATCCAATTTGTTGTTTTATTGATTAGTTGTCATTGATGCGTAATGCTTGACCTTCAGTCCGAAGCGCCCAGAGCAGAATCGTTTTGAATTCCAAAGCGCGCACTTCCTCGATGCCAGCTCGCCATATTTTTGAAGTTTCGTAAGCAGTCGAAAAAACACATTTCTTGCTGCCCACATCATCATCACAATGGCACAACAGCATCGTTATCATCATTATCGTCTTCATCACTATCCACTAGCCAACAAAATCGGCCAGCAGCATCAGCTTAATAAACACTTTTTAGCTGTTTAAGCCACTCACGCGGCTTTTGGCCAAATGAATAATTTTTAACTCACTGGCACGTTGGCTGACTAACAACTCGGGCCCCATTCGAAGCCATTTCTGCTGAATTTGTTTGCTGAGTTAATAAAAGTATAATTAAATTTGTATATATTGTTCTCGCTTCATTGTGCAGGTCCGTCCGCATCCCATTTCAGGTTGTTTATACACAGAATTAGCATTTTTAAGACTTTAGTTTTGCAAATATTCGCAGCCAGTGCGTTCGAGTGTGTGAGTGTATTCACATTAATAAACAGAACGAACGTTCAGATTCCTATCTTCACTCTCTACATTTGAGTTGGGCCAAGTTTTTTTTCTATAGACACCCGTCCAGTTACGTTCACCAAAGTTTCTGCTGTTGGGAAAAACTTTGTACAATTTTGCTAATAAACAGGAAATCGAATCGTACAAAGTGTTGTTGTAGTGAGTTTCGGTTGTTCCTGTTTTTGTTTGGCTCCTTGGTGCTTCTGCAGCGCAATCTGTTATTATTACTATCATGCCTGTTAGGTATTCGATACCTTGTTAAGTATTATTGTAAAAGTGTCACCTGGTCACATTGATCTTGTGCCCTTTAGCTACACATTTTGAATTGTAACACATTCTGGAAATATACGCGGCCTGATACACAACAGAATTGGCGACGAGGAAAATAAAAGTTAGGAAAATAAAGGTTAAGAAAATAAAAGTTAAAGAAGAACAAATAAATGACCAGCATGACTACAGCAGCACCTATAACTCCACAATTTTATCACATGATAAGCATACCCGAGTTTGTGCCAAACAGTGAAACGTTTGCAATTTGGAAAGAAAAATTTGAAATACACATGTGCGAGCAAAGTGTGAGTGAAGAAAATGCAAAAAAATCAACGTTGTTGAAATCAATTGGAACAGGCCCGTATGGTGTATTACACAGTTTATGCAGTCCAGATTCACCTGTATCAAAGTCATACAAGGAAATTTGCGAAATACTTTCAACGCACTACACACCACCTACACTTGTTTTTCGAGAACGAAAAAAGTTTCATATGGCAGTCAAAGGCGAAAATGAGACAATTGCAGAATGGTATGCCCGTTTAAAACAGTTGGCATGTAGCTGTAAATTTGGTGTCTATTTGGAAGCATTCGTACTTAACCAATTTGTGATGAGTCTTCCTAATGCAATATTTGAACGCATGTGCGAAGAAGATGAACGTCTATCTCTTTCTGACGCACTAAGAAAGGCAATGATAATGGAGACCAAAGATTTTGCAAAGAGGACAGGAGAGAACATCAGTTACGTGAACAGAAGCAGCGCAAATCAAAGAAAAAAGCGAAACTGCAACAATAGAAACAACGGCAGTTATGACACTGGAAGTTTCAAGGGCAACGGAAGATCACATGGGATGAACTTCAAAAGCAGTAGCAGCGACGGTAGTGACGGCGACGCAGGCAGAGGCAAAAAGCAGCAGAAATTCTGTGTGCACTGTGGTTGGAAAAATCATCGATCTGAAGAGTGCAAGTACAAACATCTAAATTGTCACACTTGTGGGAAGAAGGGTCATTTGGCGAGCGTATGTAATTCAAAACGAATAAATTGCGTATCGAATTTACAATCTGAAGATCCTATGTTAGATACTAAGCTAAATGAATTTAATTTTTCTGTATTTAGCGTGGCACCAACTTCTTCTGGTGAGGTTTACGTGTTACCGGTTACAATTGATGGTTGTAACATGAACGTCACTTGCGATACTGGAGCATCTTGTACAATTATTCCATATTCAGTTTATGAGAAGGCAGTGATGAAGAAGCCGCTCAGAGAATGTAATGTTCCGTACATGGACTACAATGGTCGTCTTATTGAAATTGTCGGTGAGTACGATGCAACAATTGAATATCGAGGCATAAGAAAAGAAATGGTTATAGTAGTTGCGAAAACAATGAGTCCAGCTTTACTTGGTAGAACATTTTTGAGATCGTTTAATTTTGAATTAGTTCAAGTTAACAATGTTAGCGAAAGTGAACAACTCTCTGTACTTACAAAACAAATAAAAAGTGAATTTGCAGATGTGTTTAGACCCGAATTAGGTTCTTTTAATGGGAGCAAAATTATGTTACAAATAGCGGAAAACACCAAGCCAATATTTTTCAAGCCTAGGCCGCTACCATTAGCATGGAAAGACCGCGTTGAACAAAAATTACGCGCTTTGATTGAGTTAGGAGTTTTAGAACAAGTTGATAGTTCTGATTGGGGAACCCCATTGGTTCCGATTCTTAAGCCAGATGGTGATATAAGAATTTGTGGAGACTACAAAGTTTCCGTAAATAGATCATTAGTCGATGTACGATATCCGTTACCACGAATTGATGATATTTTTGCAGCACTTCAAGGAGGCGTATTATACACTAAACTTGATTTAAGCAATGCTTATAACCAGTTGCACCTAGATGAGCAATCTCAGTTGTTGTGCACATGGAGCACACATATTGGACTTTTAAAAGTCAAACGATTACCTTTTGGTATAAAAACAGCAGCAGCAATATTCCAAAAGACAATGGAATGTTTATTCCAAGGAATAAAAGGAGTCGTAGTTTATCAGGACGACATTACAGTAACAGGAAGCAATCTTCAAGAACACATTTCAAATTTAAAAACAGTTCTTAGCAAGCTGAAATCAGCCGGACTAACTTTAAATGCAAACAAATGTGAATTTTTCAAATCTAAAATTCGTTACTTAGGGTTCTCAATAGACAGGTACGGATTAAGCAAAAATGTTGATAGAGTTTCCAGCGTTTTACTAGCACCCACACCTAAAAATGTATCTGAATTACGAGCATTCATTGGAATGGTGAATTATTATTCAAAGTTTGTTAAAAACTTCGCACAGATAATGAGTCCATTATATGTACTTTTGCAGAAAGATTCAAAATTTGTTTGGACAGTTGAATGTAACAAAGCATATGAGAGAATTAAAAGTGAGATAACTTCAGAACAAGTCTTAGTGCATTATGACGCAAACTTGCCTATTGTCTTAACGACTGATGCCAGTAGTAATGCCGTATCTGGCGTACTAGCACATAGATTTGCTGATGGTCTTAAACCGATAGCATTTGTTTCCAGAGCCTTATCAAAAAGTGAAATTAATTATAGCACACTGGATAAGGAAGCTCTCGCGATTGTATATAGTGTAATGAAGTTGAAACAATACCTTCTAGGGATCAAGTTCATCTTGAGAACTGATCATAAGCCCCTCTTGGGAATATTTGGAGATAAAAAAGGATTGCCACTTATGGCGTCTGCACGTTTGCAGAGGTGGGCTTTAATATTGTCAGGATTTCAGTACACAGTTGAACACATAAAGGGTTCATTAAACGAGCCTGATACACAGGCCGCGTATATTTCCAGAATGTGTTACAATTCAAAATGTGTAGCTAAAGGGCACAAGATCAATGTGACCAGGTGACACTTTTACAATAATACTTAACAAGGTATCGAATACCTAACATGCCTCTCCTTAGCTTTGTCATAACACTCAATAAAATATATACATTTGCATTGATACATGTTTAACATTATGAGATATTTAACAATTAACAAAACAATTATTCATGGAGTTCAATAGAGATTTCATCATAAATTCAGGTCTAAATTCAACTTAATACATTTCATTTTGTTTTCTTAATTGCAAATATTTGATTCATAAGTTTCATTTTCTATTTTTAATTTTTAAGTGGAAGGCTTAACAACCTTTCCCTCTATACGTGGTCTTAGCTGTCTTCTGGTTGGTGTTGGTTCAGAAGGAATTACAGTGTCATTTTGACTTTTAGATTCACTTGAACAATCACTTTCGATTTGATTATCTCGTTTTTCTGTTGCAATGTGTTTGCTTTCTTGATTTCTAATTTGATTTAAATGTCGTTTTATTTCACGATTGTTATGAGTTAAGATACAACAATAAGATCGAGGTCCCAATTGTTGGCTAACTGTTGCTTGAGTCCAACTTGCCTTGTTAGGATTTTTATAGTCCCTGACCATAACCTTTTGACCTTCTTTAAATCTTATGTCGCGATTACCTCTGTAACTCATGACACTATCCTCCTGCTTTTTGCTTATTTGATCATGTACAATTGGAGGTTTTAAAAACGAAAATCTGGTCTTTAGTTGTCTACCAAAGAAAAGTTTGGCTGGCGATTCGCCGGTCGTGCAATGAATCGTGTTTCTGTAATCTATTAAAAATCTATTCAGGATTATGTCAAAACTAGAATTGCTGTTAACTTTAATGCTTGCATTTATTGATTTTTTTACAGTCTTTACAAAGTTTTCAGCTTGGCCATTTGTCGCTGGATGACCAGGAGCTGTCAAAACATGCTTTATGCCATTGTTGGCCATGAAAATGCGAAATTCCTCTGAAGTAAATTGTCTACCATTATCAGACACTAATACATCAACTAGACCATATCTACAAAATAATTCTCTTAAGGTTTTTATTGTAAACGATGACGTAATTTCCTTTGTTTTAAAAACTTCTACCCATTTAGAGAAAGAATCTACACATATCAATAAATAAAAATTATTTATTGGTCCTGCAAAATCTACGTGTATTCTACTCCATACCTGACCATTTGATTTCCACGGTATCAAAGTAGACTTTTCTGGACTTGGTTGTGATTCCTGACATGCGATACATTCTCTTATTAAATTTTCAATTTCTAAATCCATATTTGGCCACCATACGTATGAGCGTGCTAACATTTTTGTTTTCACCATTCCTAAATGAGATTTGTGGAACTCTTGTAAAACTTGATTCCTAAGTTTTGTTGGAACTATTACACGATGACCCCATAAGATACAATCGTACTCAACTGTTAGCTCATTTGCTTTATTTATGAAATTTGAGAATTCAGCCTTGTTTAATTTTTGTAGCGATCCAATTTTAATGGCTTCGCACACCTTTGAAAGGATTGAATCATGCCTTGTTTCACGAGCAATACTCTTGAAATTCAATTTAAACGGTATATCAGATTGAATGAAGTTAATATAATTGTATTCCTCATCTTCGTTTGATTTGTATAACTGAGGCATCCTTGAAAGTCCGTCAGCCTCGTTTAATGAACCCTTTATGTGTTCAACTGTGTACTGAAATCCTGACAATATTAAAGCCCACCTCTGCAAACGTGCAGACGCCATAAGTGGCAATCCTTTTTTATCTCCAAATATTCCCAAGAGGGGCTTATGATCAGTTCTCAAGATGAACTTGATCCCTAGAAGGTATTGTTTCAACTTCATTACACTATATACAATCGCGAGAGCTTCCTTATCCAGTGTGCTATAATTAATTTCACTTTTTGATAAGGCTCTGGAAACAAATGCTATCGGTTTAAGACCATCAGCAAATCTATGTGCTAGTACGCCAGATACGGCATTACTACTGGCATCAGTCGTTAAGACAATAGGCAAGTTTGCGTCATAATGCACTAAGACTTGTTCTGAAGTTATCTCACTTTTAATTCTCTCATATGCTTTGTTACATTCAACTGTCCAAACAAATTTTGAATCTTTCTGCAAAAGTACATATAATGGACTCATTATCTGTGCGAAGTTTTTAACAAACTTTGAATAATAATTCACCATTCCAATGAATGCTCGTAATTCAGATACATTTTTAGGTGTGGGTGCTAGTAAAACGCTGGAAACTCTATCAACATTTTTGCTTAATCCGTACCTGTCTATTGAGAACCCTAAGTAACGAATTTTAGATTTGAAAAATTCACATTTGTTTGCATTTAAAGTTAGTCCGGCTGATTTCAGCTTGCTAAGAACTGTTTTTAAATTTGAAATGTGTTCTTGAAGATTGCTTCCTGTTACTGTAATGTCGTCCTGATAAACTACGACTCCTTTTATTCCTTGGAATAAACATTCCATTGTCTTTTGGAATATTGCTGCTGCTGTTTTTATACCAAAAGGTAATCGTTTGACTTTTAAAAGTCCAATATGTGTGCTCCATGTGCACAACAACTGAGATTGCTCATCTAGGTGCAACTGGTTATAAGCATTGCTTAAATCAAGTTTAGTGTATAATACGCCTCCTTGAAGTGCTGCAAAAATATCATCAATTCGTGGTAACGGATATCGTACATCGACTAATGATCTATTTACGGAAACTTTGTAGTCTCCACAAATTCTTATATCACCATCTGGCTTAAGAATCGGAACCAATGGGGTTCCCCAATCAGAACTATCAACTTGTTCTAAAACTCCTAACTCAATCAAAGCGCGTAATTTTTGTTCAACGCGGTCTTTCCATGCTAATGGTAGCGGCCTAGGCTTGAAAAATATTGGCTTGGTGTTTTCCGCTATTTGTAACATAATTTTGCTCCCATTAAAAGAACCTAATTCGGGTCTAAACACATCTGCAAATTCACTTTTTATTTGTTTTGTAAGTACAGAGAGTTGTTCACTTTCGCTAACATTGTTAACTTGAACTAATTCAAAATTAAACGATCTCAAAAATGTTCTACCAAGTAAAGCTGGACTCATTGTTTTCGCAACTACTATAACCATTTCTTTTCTTATGCCTCGATATTCAATTGTTGCATCGTACTCACCGACAATTTCAATAAGACGACCATTGTAGTCCATGTACGGAACATTACATTCTCTGAGCGGCTTCTTCATCACTGCCTTCTCATAAACTGAATATGGAATAATTGTACAAGATGCTCCAGTATCGCAAGTGACGTTCATGTTACAACCATCAATTGTAACCGGTAACACGTAAACCTCACCAGAAGAAGTTGGTGCCACGCTAAATACAGAAAAATTAAATTCATTTAGCTTAGTATCTAACATAGGATCTTCAGATTGTAAATTCGATACGCAATTTATTCGTTTTGAATTACATACGCTCGCCAAATGACCCTTCTTCCCACAAGTGTGACAATTTAGATGTTTGTACTTGCACTCTTCAGATCGATGATTTTTCCAACCACAGTGCACACAGAATTTCTGCTGCTTTTTGCCTCTGCCTGCGTCGCCGTCACTACCGTCGCTGCTACTGCTTTTGAAGTTCATCCCATGTGATCTTCCGTTGCCCTTGAAACTTCCAGTGTCATAACTGCCGTTGTTTCTATTGTTGCAGTTTCGCTTTTTTCTTTGATTTGCGCTGCTTCTGTTCACGTAACTGATGTTCTCTCCTGTCCTCTTTGCAAAATCTTTGGTCTCCATTATCATTGCCTTTCTTAGTGCGTCAGAAAGAGATAGACGTTCATCTTCTTCGCACATGCGTTCAAATATTGCATTAGGAAGACTCATCACAAATTGGTTAAGTACGAATGCTTCCAAATAGACACCAAATTTACAGCTACATGCCAACTGTTTTAAACGGGCATACCATTCTGCAATTGTCTCATTTTCGCCTTTGACTGCCATATGAAACTTTTTTCGTTCTCGAAAAACAAGTGTAGGTGGTGTGTAGTGCGTTGAAAGTATTTCGCAAATTTCCTTGTATGACTTTGATACAGGTGAATCTGGACTGCATAAACTGTGTAATACACCATACGGGCCTGTTCCAATTGATTTCAACAACGTTGATTTTTTTGCATTTTCTTCACTCACACTTTGCTCGCACATGTGTATTTCAAATTTTTCTTTCCAAATTGCAAACGTTTCACTGTTTGGCACAAACTCGGGTATGCTTATCATGTGATAAAATTGTGGAGTTATAGGTGCTGCTGTAGTCATGCTGGTCATTTATTTGTTCTTCTTTAACTTTTATTTTCTTAACCTTTATTTTCCTAACTTTTATTTTCCTCGTCGCCAATTCTGTTGTGTATCAGGCCGCGTATATTTCCAGAATGTGTTACAATTCAAAATGTGTAGCTAAAGGGCACAAGATCAATGTGACCAGGTGACACTTTTACAATAATACTTAACAAGGTATCGAATACCTAACACTTTTGTAATATGTTTTTGGTTGCTGGCCAACCCAAGAGAAGAGAAGTTTGTTTTATGGCCGGTCGTGCGTTTATTTTTAGCCAGCTGACTATGTGTTTTGGCTATGAAAAATGAATAACAATATTATTGCATATATTAGCATGAAACTTGTTGGTCTTTGCCAAATTGCGGAACTAAGTATCCAATTATAAATACAATAAGGTGGAGTTCCCTCTCCAATCAATGCACGAAATTAAAACAATTATTTTCTGAATAGATGAGTTAAATGTAATTGGGAATTCGGAACAATTTATTGGCCAATGCAAGGTATTCGTATAAATTACAAATTTTTAATTGGAAATTCAGCACTTAGAAGCACTTATATTATTTCGTATCTCTCAAAGAACAGTATGGG